TTTTTTTTAAAGTTTCCTATGCCAATAAAGGTTACCGAATTGATTGAGAAATGGAGCTCTCAGAGTCTCTGGGCAGCAAGGTAAAACTCAAACCTTGACAGGCATGTTCCCCCCCTCCCCTGTCTGCAACAGCTGGGTCAAAAGGCTCCCCCTATCAACAGGTAGCCATGTCCACAGTTCGTCCTTCATTTCTCCAATGCTTAGCCCACTGACAGGGAATTTCAGTCCAATATACAGTCCCTCTGCAGGCAAGCAAAACCCCACCTTCATCGCCAGTGTTATGTTGTGGGTCCAGACATGACAACTGCTTCCAGAGGGTCCTTTACTCCAAAGGCGACATGACATACACAAGACACACATTCAATAAATACCCATCCTCCACCACCACCCCCAAATCAAACCCTCCGGGCATCTCCTCATTCCGAGGTCCACCTGTCTCTTACAGCAGTCAAAAACTTCCTTTGAAGTGCCCAATACACATCGCTTCAGGGCTCACTGGGGAGGACGCTGGCCCTGGCCATGTGGGGAGTCCTCAGGCTCCAACCCCTCGGGCTCTGCTCCAGGAGGGCCACCAAGGGGGAGGGGTCACCCAAGCTCTGCCCCTTTCAGTTCTACATGTTATTTGGTAATTTATACCTACAATAATGAAACTTTCTCTACTAGTTTAGTAGTGTGTTTCTATGTAAATATCCAGTTTGCAGTGTATGAAACAGTCTGCGGATTTATTTTGCCAGGTCTTCGGGTAATGCATAAGCCATCAAATCGGACATACCCTGATGTTGGGAAAGTGTGAAGGTAAGAGGAGAAGGGGACATCAAAAGATGAGATGGTTGGACAGTGTCACTGACTCTGACTGAAGCACTTTCCATATTACATGCATTTATATGGTTTCTCCCCAGTGTGAGTTCTTTGATGTGATCTCAGCTGACTGCTCTGAATGAAACTTTTTCCACATTCCATACATTTAAAAGATTTCTCCCCAATGTGAGTTCTTCCATGGGAACTGAGGCTGTTGCTGCAGCTGAAGCTCTTTCCACATTCTATGCATTTATATGGTTTCTCCCCAGTGTGAATTCTTTGATGTGATCTCAGCTGAGCGCTGTGACTGAAGCTCTTTCCACATTCCATGCATTTATATGGTTTCTCCCCTGTGTGAGTTCTTTGATGTGATCTCAGCTGACTGCTCTGAATGAAACTTTTTCCACATTCCATACATTTAAAAGATTTCTCCCCAATGTGAGTTCTTCCATGGGAACTGAGGCTGTTGCTGCAGCTGAAGCTCTTTCCACATTCTATGCATTTATATGGTTTCTCCCCAGTGTGAGTTCTTTGATGGGAACTCAGGGAACTGCTGTGACTGAAGCTCTTCCCACATTCCATGCATTTATATGGTTTCTCCCCAGTGTGAGTTCTTTGATGTGATCTCAGCTGACTGCTCTGAATGAAACTTTTTCCACATTCCATACATTTATATTTCTCACCAACGTGAGTTATTTCATGGGAATTGAGGCTGTTGCTGCAGCTGAAGCTCTCTCCATATTCTATGCATTTATATGGTTTCTCCCGTGTGTGAGTTCTTTGATGGCAACTCAGAGCATCGCTCCGACTGAAGCTCTTCCCACAATCCATGCATTCATATGGTTTCTCACCTGTGTGAGTTCGTCGATGGGAACTCAGGGAACTGCCGTGACCGAAGGTCTTTCCACATTCCATGCATTTAAATGGTTTCTCCCCAGTGTGAGTTCTTTGATGGGAACTCAGGGAACTGCTGTGACTGAAGCTCTTCCCACATTCCATGCATTTATATGGTTTCTCCCCAGTGTGAGTTCTTTCATGGGAACTCAGGTGACTGCCCTGATTGAAGCTCTTTCCACATTCCATGCATTTATACGATTTCTCTCTTTTGTGAGTGCTTTGATGAGATCTAAGGGAATTGCTATGATGGAAGCTCTTTCCACATTCCAAGCATTTAAATGGTTTCTCTCCAGTGTGAGTTCTTTGATGGGAACTCAGGGCATCGCTCCGACTGAAGCTCTTCCGACATTCCATGCATTCATACGGTTTGTCACCTGTGTGGGTTCGTTGATGAGATCTAAGGGTATTGCTACGACTGAAGCTCTTTCCACATTCCATGCATTTATATGGTTTCTCCCCAGTGTGAGTTCTTTGATGAGATCGAAGGGAACTGCTCTGACTGAAGCATTTCCCACATTCCACGCATGTATATGGTTTCTCACCTGTGTGAGCTCTTTGATGGGATGTCAGGTCACTGCTCTTACTGAAGCTCTTTGCACATTCCATGCATTTGTATGGTTTTTCGTCTGTGTGAATTCTTTGATGGGAACATAGATGATTTTTCTCAAAGAAGCTCTTTCCACACTCTAGGCATTTGTACTTTCTCTCACCTCTCAGAGGGTTATCATGTGAAGTACAATCACTGTGCATTGTGATGCTTTTTCCTTATTTTATGTATTGACTTCCTTTCTTGTCTGGATGGATTATGTCAAATCTATTGTCGTCTGAGGTTCCCTTCAATGCTTATCTGGCTAGGGAACCTTTTCTACTTCATTTTCCCTGTTGATTTTTTCAGGTAATCAGAAGTGTATGAACATCAATAGCAGGAGAAACTGCAGATTTCTTTATCTCTCTTTTTTCCTGGCTTCTCATCTTGCCTTTTCTTTTAATTGTGCCAAAAAATTGGTCCTTCAGACTTAGTGTTTTTTTTCCACTGAAAGAACAACTGGCTCCATAAAATTCCTGTTGTCCTGTTCATCACCTAATAGAGAGAAAAAAGAGATGAAAGAGGAGTGCAAAATAAAATAAACACCTTACTTCTTTTTTTAACATGGTGGACAATTGATTCTTTTTATTGTTCTGTTATCTATGGTTTGTTATTTATTTTCTTTTGTTAAATTATGTCTAATTACTTTTATACCTCACTTGAAACTGATTTCTACCAGTATTATGTACTGTCATAGGGACTGGAATCTCAGGGGATGATTGAAAACCTCGGGCTGGATGTTTTTCTTAGAACATTACAGGATGTTCAGAGTGGTTGCACCATTCCACCTGACAGCAGTAACATCATTAACATTCAGAAAATCATGGGAACCAAACAATCCATTCATGACAGAGACGGTAATCTATTGGGACTGTGCAGATTCTGTTTCTGAATGGAAAGGACATTTTGGGTCCTGCCGACAACCCAGATCAGCATCTCATTTGAATCTCCATCTTATATTTTGGATTACGCTCTGACAACACAATGCTGATCCTAGTGCCACTTATAGAAAATGGCGCTGGCTCAGAAGACGATCAGTTCGAAGCCCTAACATCATTACTATCTGTACGCAGGACAAGATTTACAGGACATTTACTTTTAACAACATAATGAGATTTTAAAATGAATAGGACACCCAAAACTTTTCTGGGATTTCTTGACACACTGCTTATCACAGAGAGGGATGGCAAGAGATTCTGGTTTGGATATATTTGGAACATTGTGCGGACACGAAAGAATTACTGTCTCAAGATGGCGAGGAAAGAGGAAGTGAAGTTCAATACTTCTGGTCCTCCCTGCCCCAGAACCACTGCTGCTGATAAATCTAGTGCATAAATGGCCCTTGGGTCACACAAATCATGATCTCTTAGTGACACAGTAACTAACAGGAACTAATATTGACATAGTTGTGGTTCGGAAGAGGTAGTGAAATTGACTGGCACTAACATTTTCGATCGTTGCCAATGAAAACTGCTGGAACTGCCGGCTGCACGGGGACTTCAGTTGGTTTGTTAATTGCTGGTTATAAGAAGTGTTGCTTAAGGGTTCATGAATGGATTGTAGAGGAGCTAGGAAATTCTATGTAAGAGATGGAATGGTTTAAATTTTAATTTAAATCTGATGAATTAACCTACCTAACACATCCATCTTATGAAATCCAACTTGATTATGCAAGTTTAAATCCAGTTGAGTACTGTTTCTGCTTTGCTATCCCTTGAGGGTGTGGGGGGAGATGTACATTAACCTGAAAGTTAGATGATAACTAAACTATTCTCCCATTAAAACTATAAATAGAGCTTCAAATTTTTTAATTGATCAAACCTATTTAAAATTATTCCATCAACCAGAACTGATGAATTAACTGTGAAATTATATCACTGCCTTTTAAAATAAATTATATACACCCAACGTATTGACTATTTTATATCAGATTAATAGCATTTACCTGTCTACACTATTTATTCTCACACTGCACTTTAACAAGACAAACATTTGTCATCTGAGACTGAGATCCTGTCACCTCGTGTAGGGAATGAATACTGTATCGTTCAAGTGGTAACCAGCAGGGGAAGGTATGGCACTATTTCAATAGCTAGTAGATCTAGAAGAACGGGGGTTATATATCTGAAGGCTGTCCCTTCTTTGAGTTTTGATGGCAGCAGCCAGATATGAGCACCCCTTCATGGATTTCTGCCTTGTGGTGAAGGGGCTTGAGTAATTCAGAGAAGCTATAAGCTATGCCGTGCAGGGACACCCCATGTGGACAGGTCATCGTGGAGAGTTCTGACTAAATGCGATCCACCTGGAGCAGGAACTGGCAAGCCACACCAGTATCTTTGCCAAGGAAACCCCATGAACAGAAACAAAAGGCTAAAAGATCTGCTGCTGGAAGATGGGCCCCTTAGATCGGAAGGCATCCAACATGCTACTGAGGAAGAGCGGAGGACAAGTACAAATAATTCCGGAGCTAATGAAGGGGTTGGGCCAAAGCCGAAAGGATGCTCAGCTATGGACGTGCCTGGAAGTGAAAGGAAAGTTTAATGGTGCAAAGAATACCACATAGGAACCTGTAATGTAAAATCTATGAACCTTGGGAAGCTCAAACAGGAGATGTTAAGAATAAACATTGACATCCTGGGAGTCAGTCAACTAAAATGGACAGAAATGGGTGAATTCAATTCAGACAATTATCATATCTACTATTGTGGGCAAGAATCCCATAGAAGAAATGAAGTAGCCCTGATAGTCAACAAAAGAGTGGGAAAAGCTATAATGGGATAAAATCTCAGAGTCTAGAACTGGCAGCGGCTCACTTATTCAAAATAAAATCAAAACGGAGGGGATGTGGGAATTTTTTAGTCTAGAGCTCCATCTTGTGGCTCCTAGGGGATACACCAGCAATGTTTAGCATAATCATGTATTGTTCTGTTATTCCTTCTCTGCGCAAGTGTGGAATATCTTAAAATTGATAATCACTCAACACCTGTTTGGGTAAAGCCTTATCTTATGCAAATTTGCTTATTTAACAAATAGAGGTCCCCGGGGTGAAGGAAGGAGAGTTTTTCCTGGTGATCACTGGTGGCATTCTTGGTAACTAAACAAAAGACTGCAGTGTATTTCTTTATCAGAGATCTCTCCCTTTCTTACAACTGCGGTTGAGACAGGCCCTCAGCAGTGGTTCCCTGGCAGTTGTCCACAGTGCAAGAGGTTCAGATTTTCCCCCTTGAAAGCAGGGAGTCTACCCTCGATGGCTCTCCAGGAACCCCCTCTGCAATCACCCCCATGGCCATTGGGCAGCGCCCTCCCTGCAGAAAGAAAGCCAGCCCGAGATTGATCAATTGGTGAGGGGGGAGGAGTGGGGGGAAGTCTGAGGTGAAGGCCTGGGGGATGAGGAAGGGGGAGGCAGGAGCCCAGCTGGCCTCTCCAGCTCACACTCCCCACTCAGAGGTAAGCAAGGTCTGGCTCTCGCTGGACCCCTTGAAAGATGGCCAGGAGCCTTCCTCCTTCCAGAACAGGGTGTGTGTGGCCCGGTCAGTCTGTGCAAGTCCCCCCTGTCACACACAAACAAACACACACTTCCTCCAAAGTGAAAAGGAGCACATCTGGAAAATTGCCGAAAAGGAATGAAGCTCTGATGATTTGCAATTTTGAACATTCCCCTCGGAAAGCAAGTCCCTCCCTGGGGAGGGAAAGGTGGTGGGGGTGGAAAGAGAAGGCTGGGGGGACGCCTTTTTGGGGTAGAGAAGCCCCCAGCCCTTCTCTCTTTCATGAACCAGCCCTTCACAAACAAACACACACAAAAGGGCTTCCCTCCTGCTCTGCCTGCCAGGAAGGCCAAACGGGCCAGGAAATCCTTTTTCAAACCTAAAAAGGAAGTGAGCCTGGGATCTGGAAAACAGGCCAAAATGGCACAGTGCCCCCTTCTCCTTCCCCTGTGCTTCTCTGTGTTTTTTGGGATTTCCCCTTTTTTCCAGTGACGGGATTTCTGCAACCTCTGTGCTGAATTCCACAATCATGTCAGGTTTCAGGAAAGGCACGTGGACGGTTCAATGCGTCTTCCATCACCCTGGGAAAAAGCACGTTGTTTCTGTTTTACGCAAGATGGCCCAGGTCTCCCATCAAAATCAATTTGCTGTCACAGACATGGGGGCCAAGTTGGTTTTCTCACTTTGAGGCTGAGCTGGCTGATTGGGAAGAGGGGCCCACTCCGTGCCTGGAAGTTGGTTGGATGTATCACATGCAGCGAGTGAGGGATAAAAAGATGGCTTTTAAGCCTTTCCTTCCCCACTTCTTCTTCTCCTTCTTCTTCTTCTTCTTCTTCTTCTTCTTCTTCTTCTTGTCATTGTTGTTAGTGTTAGTATAGTACACTTTCTCACCTCTTCATGGATTGCTTCTTTGTCATGGCAAAAGGGCTTGGGTAATTCAGAGAAGCTATGGGCTTTGCCATGCAGGGACACCCAAGACAGACAGGACATAGTGGAGAGTTCCGACTAAACGCAATCCACCTGGAGTAGGAATTGGCAATGCCACTCCAGTATCTTTGCCAAGAACGACCCATGACAAAATGCTAAAAGATATGACGCTGGAAGATGGGCCCCTCAGGTCGAAAGGTGTCCAACATGCTACAGAGGAAGAGCGGAGGACAAGTAATGAGGACAAGTAATGCACAAACAGGAGATGGTAAGAATAAACATTGACATCCTGGGAGTCGGTGAACTAAAAAGGACAGGAATGGGCGAATTCAATTCAGACAATCAAAAAGCAAAAGTAAAAGCAGTACCAGGCAGTCCAAAGCCTCTCTCAGAACACACACTCTCTAATCACTGGGGCGAAGGAGTTACAAAGAGGCAGCATTTTTCCAACCAACAGTTAACTGAAGGAGAAAAGGAGGGAAAGCAGTTCAAATTTCCCCATCTTTTTTCCGGTCGTATCTCAAAGCCCCGGTTGCAACTCAAAGCAAAGGTTTATGACCGGAGCTAGTCATAACTCAGTCGTAAGTTGGGACAGTCGTAAGTCGAGGCACCACTGTAAAACGGCTAGGTTTTGTTAACAGTATTGCTGATTCTTGCGTCTATCGTAAAGGAAAAGGAAACCAAGTAATGTATCTGCTAGCTTTTGTAGATGATCTGTTTCTAATTGTGCAGAACAAAAGCCAGGTAGAGTGGTTTCAAAAAACCGTGAACAAACACTTTAAAATGAAGTATCTAGGAGAAATTCAAAATTACCTACGGGTTCATGTGAGCAAGGATGAACAAGGCCATTTTGTTCTAAGTCAAAAAGATGAAATAGAAAGTTTGCTTAAGCAATGTAACAAGTCTGGAGCAAACAAAGTTTCTACTCCTGTAGTGACCGACTTCTATAAAGATAATGATACAGGAGATTTTGAAAACATTACCTTGTATCAATCAGTGATAGGGTCTTTGTTATACAATATTTATCAGTGTGGACAAGACCTGATATCGCTGATAGTGTTAACATCTTAAGTCAGAAGTGTG